ACTTCTTCCTCAAAATAGCGTTCTGTTTGCTGTCTCACACGTTCTCAGGTGAGCGAAGGCCTGCTCAGTTGTGAGCACGCACCACGAACGGGGCCGTGACGGCCCGTGTGCGCACAGAGGCCGCCACGAGTGGGGCGAGCGCGCAGCCCTCCGACACCTTCAGCTCTAGATTTTATAGCGAGGCAGTAAGCTCAATCCGTATGTGTAATTAAACAGAGAAATATGGTTACACGACGCTGTGCTATTAAGTGCTAATTTTTGGAATGATCTCCTGGACTCCTACAGTATTAATCATTCCTGGAAATGAACCTCAAGGTTCACCCTACTATTCTTCTTAAGTAAGGAAAATGTTTTAATCTATTTCAAAATATGTTCGAGAAAATTTAAATCTAGAAGCGTGTGTGATTACCTTTTATCGGAAATACATGTGTATATATACAAACATGCATGCATACATACATGTACATACACACACATACATGTGCATATAAACATAACATATACATACACAGATACATATACACATACATATACATGCACACACATATATACATACACATATACATGCACACACATATATACATAGACATATACACATACATATACATGCACACACATATATACATACACATATACATGTACACATATGCATATCCTCATGGGGAGAAAACCTCCTCTCCAGTGCCGTCTCCCGGCTCTGCACACGGCGGGTGCTCAGCACACGCGTGTGGCAGGAGCTGCTCAGAGCCGAGGAGGGGAGGGAGGAGCTGACTGCAAGGAGTCACGCTTCAGTCTCCAGCGCTGACTCTGATAACATGCTTTCCTTCCAGGAGGAGACAGTGAGGAGACCCTGGGCTGCCCACCAGGGCGGCTGCTCCAGCTAGCCGGTCCCTGAACTCTTCCCAAATGCAGGGTCTACAGACAATTAAGACACTAACGAGCAGATTCAGAGGAAGGAGAACAAAAGGGAGACTTTCTGCCCCAGCAGCTGAGAAGTCCCACTGGGGTGAAGACACCCTCCCCTGACCCTGAGCCCTGAGCCTCCCCCCAGAGCTCGAGGTAGAGGCCCCAGAGCCTCCGCCCGGGAGCACCCGGGGGCTGTCCTTCCGCTGTCTGTGCCGGGCCGGGTCTCAGCAAGGCGCTCACACGCGAGAAGGACAGACAGGGTTAAATTCATAACATGGCACTTATTCACACCACATTAGCCATAGGAACACGACAATTAGGCATAAAATTTTATTTCTATGATAATATACTCTGAGCCCTAAAAAGAGCCAGTAAAGAAAGAAATTACCCTTGGGGGGGGGGAGACAAAAACAAAACCGGTTACTCTTGAAGACAAGCAGGACAGCACTGTGACTGACAGCAAGGCCACCATTGACTCTAGCCCCGGGACGGAAGGTCAACAGTAGGTGCAAACCCAGAAGACACAGGTACCCATGACCGCTCACGGCGACCACCGAGAAACCGGACCGCAGAATTTCCCAGTGTAACATGCCTAGCTGCTCTCCATCTCCAAGTTATCTGCAAAGTGCAAGTGGTCTCTGCCTTACGAAGGAAGCTGGTGAGTCTGCCTGCAGAAAAGGCTTATACGCATGAAACCTCAGCCAGCTGCCATTAGCACGTTCAGCAGAGCAATTCCACTCTTGCCACCCCTCATCACGATCCCCCTCGTTCCCGCAACTGGTGATGAGCAACGCTTTCCACGACCCAGACAACAAACAGCTGGCCGGATGCCAAAAGACCATGCCTCCACGGTCTACCGTGCCCTTTTTAATCAACTTCCTAATTAAAAAATGCCATGCTGGCACGAGGTATGGAGCGAGTAGGCTTGGAATATTTCACAAAATAGCACCCCCTCATCCTGGGTTGTTGGAAATCTGTGTTCTTACAGATGTTTATGAGTTTTCCTGGTGCAGAGATAGAATCAATTTGCTTGCGCCTGGCCCTCAAGATGTATTAAATTTATCCTGAAGGAAACCGGTTTCTGAAAAGCTCTTGACCAGATGCATTAGGCAGGTGGGAGTTCCAGCGAACCAAAGGGTCCACTAGCAGATGCAGCATCGATTTCTGAATGTTCACAATCTACCAGACAGCTCCAGAGCAGACTCGATTTGATGGCTCTCTATGGGGTGCCCTGCAGACTCGATTATTTCCACATCCAGCCTGGCTAGCATTGTTTCCTGGCGACAATGCCCTGTGTGTTCAGCTTCTGTGTGGATGGCACAGGCTGGCTGAATACGAGCAACTGGGCGGGGAGGCTGGGCCAAGTGTAAAGTCAGCCTCTGAGAACTGCCCATTGCCTTTAGGGTTCAGTGAGGTGGGAGCCCCTGAAATAGAGAGGCAATGCTCACTTTCAAAACCCTTCTGTTGACTGCCACGAGAACAACCATGAATCCAGCTTAGGACAATGGCATGATGATAGGACTCAAAACAGGGTTTGAACTGGAGACCCTATGATGGAAACCTCTATCAACATACTACCCTCCATTATTAATCAGTGGGTTGTTTGTTTAGAGCCCCAAGCTTGACATCCACACCTGCAAATTTCTCAAGCAAATGTTCAATATCCATGAGGCAATTTTCTGCAAGGCAGTTTGAGTCTGCCGGCAGACTTCAGTAGAAAGCAGTCAGTATGTCATATTGGGTCATAAAGTTCTTCCAAGTATACTAATGGGTGCACAAATATGTCTAAGGCAGGTTTACATGGTACACACACATCGACCCAGTGGCTCACATCTTGTCAGCTTACACACAACGTTGTCACACTGGCATTTTAAAAACACATACATGCAAGCACTCACAAAAGCATTGGAGAGATTAATTATAGTACTCCTAAGAGTGCAGAAATATAGTAAAGAATTTTAGAGGAATTAAGGCCAAATAGCTTTTTGAAAAGAAATTCACATATTTCCGATTCACAATCAATGGGAATCCTACTGAAGCGATGACCTCTGCAGCCCCCCCAACCTCGTACAGAGCGACCCCACGAGACGCCCCCCCCACCAGCCACCACTGCCCACATAGCAGTCAGCCACAGAGTGCCTGATATTTGCACTAATATTTTGGAATGTCATTAATTGATTAAAATGTTTTGCTATAAAAGGCTGCTTTTCTTTCCAAAGTTGACATGCAACCTTATAGCCAAACCAAGAACAGAAAATTTCCCCCAGGAATCGAATTTTCCGTCGGGCACACATCACCCTGTGTCTAGCTCTGGGACCTTTCATTGTCATTGGATGTGAGCCCTCTTCAACAGGCCTGAGAACCAACGTGACAGATAGTGGCATAAAGTGGCTCTGTCAAGTGGAGACTAATATGAAAAAAATTTTGGCCCTAAAAAAAAAAAAAAAAAATGCTAGGCTACACCTTTGAAGGCAGCCAGGCACAAAGAGCTCCACCGAGAAGTCGGATTCAAGGACCTGTTTAGGAATGGACACGTTGAGGCTAAAAACGAAAGCTGATATCTTGCCCCAAGAAAGTTATAACCCATCATACAGCCAGAAAGTGTTATTTTAATCATATAAAGCTTGGCTCCACTCTAAAATGAAATGCAGTGATGAGAAAACAATGTAAGTATGACTTTTCTCTAGGGAAGATCCGATGAATATGAAAACAATTTGATATTTAATACTGTTTGAGTTAAATTAAGAAAAAAAAATTCAATTTTTTCCTCACTCTAGTTTATAGAAAATTTGAAAATGAAATAGAAAAACATTCTATGTTTATATCTCTATATAGATACGGGAAATTGATAATTCGCCTATATGTAAAAAACAAAGCTCAATATAATTATTCAGAAACTTGCAGTATGAGAGGGAAAATCATCAAAATCAAGTTTCAGCAGCTGCATATAAAGGGTTAATATGTTTTCCAATATCTTGTGTTTGAGGTTTAGGTTCATTAAAGGTAGTTTTCTTTTTTGGAAAGGTATAGATTTTTAAACAGTAGAAATTGCTCCCCCCCCCAAAAAAAAAAGTTATATTTCCTGTCAAATATTCACTGTTATTGTCTAAAGCAAACAGCTAAAGTAAAGCCACTCTTAAAAAAAACAAGCTTAAAAATAAAAGCAAAAGGAAATCAAGTGATCTAACATATTCAGGAAACTGCAAAAATGACAGTCAAAGCACAGTAATTTCTACTTGAGTTCTACCTTAAAAGCAGGTGAAATAATTAGGTCAGTTACAATGAAAACCTTGCCTTTTAAGGAGAATAGGAATTATTAACACAGGATAGAACTATTTACCAGTGATTTCCCCCGGATGGAAGCATATTTAACTAAATATCAAAACACCCATATTCCAGCACTACAGTCACAGAATTATATAAGAAATGTGTCACTGGCGACAATAGAAAACCAGGGTTCCAGTGAGCTTTATTCTCACTCATCCAGCTCAGCCTGGCTCGCAGAGACGATGTCCACCTTGCGGGGAGAGCTGAGAGCGCGCAAGGCCGCACCGGCTGCTGCCTCTCCTGCCTCTAGACCCTACAGATCAATGGGGACTTCAGTGCGGTCTCCACAACCTCAGCAAGCTGCTGGTTACATGAGCTCAAACCTTCTCCCAGCTAGGAGAAATGCATACCAGTCAAAACTAACGGTGTCCGGGCTTGCTTAGAGCCCGCATTGGCTAGCTTTGCTGGTGTCCACACAGGGACCCCGAAAACACGAGACAGACACATGGAATAGCGGCTGCTGTGAAATTCCGAAAACAACACTCTCTGAGCAGTTGGTTTCCCCCGGAGACGCGTGCAGGGAAGATGGATGGACAGCCACCGACCGGCAGCAAGGACTCACTCAGCTGTCGCTGCTGTCGCCGGCGCGGGGAGTTGAACTTTGCTCCACTTTGCGCACGGACCAGAGCTGGGGACGGGGCGCAGGACGTTGCCCAGAGGGAGGGGGCCTCAGCGGGACCGGGGCACCCCCGCCAAGGGGTCCCCGAGACACCTGACAGGCGCGGTTCCCGCGCGCCCCCCGCCCCCGCCTCCCCGCCCAGACTCACCCGGAAAATCCTCGGACCCGCTCGGCGACTACAGAGCTCCCCGCGCGCGCCGGGACGCCCCCGGTCCGCGCCGCGTCGGTGCCGCCAACTTGGCTCGGCGCGTCTCCATCCCCGCGGCCGGGCGCGGGCGGCCCGTCTGCTAATTGTCCTGCCACATGGGCCAGAGTGAGGGTGCTGCGGGCAGGACAGCAGCGGGCCGGCGTCGAGGGTGTGGAAATTAATGAGTTGACACCGCTACGCGCCGGGCAGGGCGGGCGTGGGGACAGCCCTGCCTCCGGGGACGCGGCGCAGCCCCCATGCAGGCGACAGCGACAGCGACAGAGATAGCGACAGCCGCCGAGGCTCGGTCCTGCCCGCGCGCGCCCGCAGGTTCCCGCAGAGACCAGCCCGCAGCTCCGGCCTGCTGTCTCCTGCGTCCGCAGGCAGCGAGTGTAGCCCTTTCCCTGAGTCCTAGCGTGTGGGACTGCACCGGGAGCTAGGTGTCTTTCGGGGGGGTGGGCTAGCTGTGGGTGACACCGGCCATTTCCAGCGTCCCCGCTTGCGGAGCTGGCGCACAGGCGGGCGAGACTGGGGGCGCACGCTGAAGGCTTCCTACATTGTACCAGGCCCCAAATCTCCAGGGCAGAGTGTGCATCCGCGCGGTGCTGTATTCAATGTAATAGACGAGAACGGTGAATGCCCTAGCCAGGCTGCCACCGGCTACCGGCTAGGTAATATATCTAAAAATAGCCCTCCTATCATGGATGTTATGGTAAATCCACACTGGCCAGAGAAACCTCACAAAAGTCAGCTGAACCCACAGTATTTTAAAGGGTACTATTGTTTCACATCAAAACAAAACAAAAAGAGGTTCCCAGACCTGCCACTTGTTAGGACGGGAGCATGGTTACGCAAGGGTTAACTGTGATTCTTAAAATCTCTTTCAGGTTGCTAACCACACTCTATCATTCTCCTTCCGTATGAGCTGCTTTTTTATCGTTCTCTTTCAAAGCCAAAGACCTAGAACCATTTTTCCCAGAAAGTTAAAACATTATCATCCCTTTAGTATTGTTTGAAGGAAAAAAAAATATCAGAAAAAGTTTTATCTGAAAAGACAAGACCAAATAAGATTTCCAAAATATAAAAAAAAAAGGGAACACAGATATATGACTTTCATTAGCATTTTCCTGGCTTAAAAAAAAAGTGCTGATTTTATAAATGGCTTCTTGAGTCAAGCAGTAAAGGGTTTACTCTGGCGATAACTATGCCATTCCACTCTCTGCAAACCTCTCTCTCTCTCTCTCTCTCTCTCTCTCTCTCTCTCTCTCTCTCTCTCTTAGCACTCAGCGCTATGAAAGGGTACATTAAATCATAAAGGCTACTTTGGCACCTCCCACCCTCGCCCCTGGAAACTAGCCTTGAATACACAGACTGGTGTTTAACAACAACTCCGGGCAGCCTGCAGACACCTCTCGGGTGCCCACAATGGCATTCTGCTGAGGGAGTAGCTCCCTTTGAGAAAGGTCCATTGTTGGCTTGTTTATACACCAAGCCATGCGGCTTCAAGAAGTATTGTAATGTGCAGTCAAATAAGAGCTGGAGACAGGCAGACAGGTGAAGAAACAACTATTTGCTGAAGTACTTAAGGGAACATTTGAAATAATTCTAAAGAGCTGGGAGCTGCAGCCACCAGGCACATAAGAATAATAATTCAAAAAAAAAAAAAAAAACAGAAAACCCTATGTAGCCTTTAAAATAGAAGGAAAGAGGTACCTTTTGTAGAAGACTCCCGTTCCGCAGTCTGTTTCTCAGGCGAGCAGGGCTGTGTCTGCCATGGAGAGCCCATCCCACGTGCTCCTCACATTTCCCTCTCTCTGCTCCATGCACCCCTGCCCTCCAGTGCCTTCCCTCCCAGCTCCCTGTCGACAGAGAGCCGGAGGCAGAGCCACGACAGGCGACCAGCCACTGCAGGTTCTCCCCGGAACACAATGCCGACCGTGGTTTCCGTGGGGAGGCTGGCTCAGAAGCCCCAAGTTCCCAGGAACACCCGATGCCAGCTCTCAGAGGTAATTCCTCTGAAGACCAAGCCTCTGCCTGATGTGTTGAGATCAGACTCCCTGGTTACTACAGAGGTTACAATTCCCTTCCCAGGGAGCCCCGCTAGAAACCACCGCAGTCTGAAAGCAAGAAAAGCTTTAAGAGAATGTCCTGTTCCACTCCATCTTCTCACAGCACAGCCCTCCTTACGCTCAGATTAAAATATTTTCCCTCCCCTCCCAACTTCTCTGATAATTACCACGTGGGGAGTAGGAATTTTTTTTTCTTTTTAAGAAGTACATTTTAGGAAAATTCTCCTAACAGAAACAGCTCCATACAGCAATGTTTATCAGTATGTGTTCGTATAATAAATAAGAATATATGCCTTCTTTGTAGTTTTATAACACCTGGTTTACATTTTCTCTGCCATCTCTGATTACTTCTGCAGATGCCCCGAGGGCTCATTATGATGTCAAAGCCAAAAACAGTTTCATTGTGGAAACCTGCACAGGAAAATCACTGTGTGCGCCTGAACAATGCAGGTGTGCGGGAGACACCCAGGGAGGAGAGGGCAGCAAAGACACCAACGGGGGCAGAGTCAAGGCGAGAGGACAGCGGGGGTGGGGGGAGAGGACACAAAGACTCTACAAACTGCACCACGTTGCATGAACACACAGCCCACTGGTGGAAAAACGTATCGCTGTCACCTTAAATAATCTCGCATCAGAATAACCATACAATACATTACCAGAAAACTAGAGTATTTAGTTTTATTCTTATACAACTTATGGCAATTATAGACAATATTTCTACTATGTAGAATATTTAAATATCATCTTTAAAAATATCAGCCAAATAAGATATTTGAACATGATCCCTCTACCAAAAAAAAAAAAATTACCTGTATGTATTTTCATCTTTAAGATTGTGGTATCTTTCATCTTTAGTTGACTTTGGAATAAATGTAGGTAAGTGTCAGGTATAGTGTTGTGGTCCCGGATTCAGTATGAGGAAACTTAGCTTGGTGAAGAATATGTTAATTATTTTCAAGTTTTTGTTCAAGTTTACCCTCTGTTACTCCTTTTTAAGGAATGCTACACTTTTTTTTTTTTCAGAGAAAAGGAGGACACACTTGTGAAAAGTGCCCTTTTAAAAAACTTGAAAATAAAAAAAAATGCATAAGGTCACTGCAGTCAAATTATGCTATGGAGTAATTTAATCATAAGAATTTAGGAAAACTGAAGGTCTCTCTTTCTGAAATCTGCCATTCATTTGCTTTCTGAGAAGAGTTCTGGTGAAATTTGCATCAAGGTAGACTTCCTGGCAAAGTACTAGATGCATTTGAAAACCTGGTTATTGATTGGAAATTATAGTCCTGGACCCGAGGGGACACCCAGCCAGCAAAACTTCCACTGCAGGGCAAAGCGGACACCACTAAAGATGTCTTTCTCGTCCCTCTTGCTCTCTGAGGGATTTCTTATATCAAACATTTAAGAATAAATAAGACTTTAAGTTGGTGGTAGCCACTAAAATGTATAAGTAAACAAAATATTTGAGATGGTATGGTATGTGTTTTTTGAAAAATGTCTCTCCCCCAAATCAGACTGTCTTGCTTACAGGTAGAGTTGGAAACCTAGTTTATACTTGTGACTTAGAAATTATTATTTACTCAACAAAATTAATTGTTCACAAAGAGGTAATTGGCTTTTTTAAAATAATGCATGAAAAGTATTTCTAAAGGCAGCCAAACAAATAATCAGATTATTAATTCAATATTTTGATTTTTAAATATAATTTTCACAAGTAGAAAAAGTTTAAAAATCGTTGAAATTGCAAAGTCACTTATTTCTTTTCCCTAATTTATTAAACATTGACAAAGAAAGCAGATAGAAATCACCAGACAGTACAATAGTTGGGCATATTCAATAGTAAGTTATAAAATATAAGCATTTTCAAAAAAGTAAAAAAAAAAATAAATTCAATGAAAAATATAACAGGAACAATGAAAGCAGCACATCAGAGAAGATTCCTTCTCTACAGATTCCACATAGTTCTAAAGTCATGTTTATGCAGCTTTTATAATCCAAAGAAGACCATGTATTCATATTCTTTTAGGAATTTTTGCATGCCACTCATATGTGATCAAAAATTATTGGGCCTTGAACCTGGATCTCAGCTTCTAACACAAATTTATGAAATTGGCTAAGTTCTGCTGCTGGATACAAGTTTAACTCAAAAGAAGTTGAAATTTATATGTCATGCATACTTTCTGCCTTACTGTAACACCACATAATCCTGGCTCATCTTTTCAGAGATGGAATTTTAATAATAATTACCTATACTTGGATGAAGACCTTTCCATCTGAGAATCAGTAGCAGTTACAGTTTTCCAACCCACAATTATACACATACAAGTAATTTTGACAGATTCATCATATGTTTGATAATTTGGAAAGTAGGGTAAAATGTGTATGTAATGCCAGCTGGAAGGTCTTTACAAAATAAAAATCTTCAGGCATAGAGATCTTTGCTGCCACCATCTTCAAAACATTCAATGGTGACTATAAAGCCTTCTCCTACTTCTACCTCAACTAGCACCATCATTAAGGTGATGAAATGAGCCATTTTCACATTGCCAGTAAACTGGTAGGAAGTCAGCCACTGCTGCATGCAACTGCTATGGGCTGCGGACAGCTCCCGGTGCTGAAAGGGAGGCAGCGAAGCCTTCCTCACAATAGCTCACTCCACCAGCCTTTGAAAAATCACAGCAAAATGAATGAGGTGGCAAGTGCTCAGGCTGAATAGCACTGTCTGCAGAACAATGGCAGCCAGCTCCAAATCCTACTATAATCACATTAATGAGATTAATCAGTGAATTAGCAACAGTCAAATGTCAGGGAGGCAAGGAAGAATCCAACCAAGATTGGTAATTAACTTTTTTTTGGGGGTGGGGGAGGATGGAAAAGAATCAACTGCATCACCCTCTAGGTTTTACAGAAGTTGACAATTTTCATTCACAAATTTTAAGACCATATATACTGGTCAAAAGACAACAACATAATCTTTTTCATATTATAATATAGATCCAGGTATCCTATGACTGACACTTCAGCTATCATCCTCTGAGAAAACTGATGTCACTTTAAATAATATTCATAAACCGTCAGAATTTCATTATTTTAAATTTTCTAAGTGTGAAATTAATATTTAAAATGAACTTATATCTCTAAAACCCAAGCTAAAATAAAAAGAAATATGGCTGATTAAAAAGGGAAGGATTATATAACAACTGCTGCTGCTTATTAGAAGTCTATGATGGTGTGGCCAGAGTTTTGAAAAGTGCAATCAAGTAAAGTGCTATCATACAAATGCATCGCAATGGTCTATTGTCTTCATAAGGGGAATTCATTATTAAAGTAAAACTTTAAGGAAACTTTTAACCAATTCACTTTTTGCACTTGAAGTGATAGAATCATACATGTTCCTTTAAGTCAATCAGGAAAAACAAACTTCTTTTTTTCTGGAATGTGTCACTTAGTAGCCTTTATAATGTACAATCAACACTGATTTAAAGTTCTTGAAGGTAGAAAACTTATAGAAATGCAATGCTATTGTTTTTCAAAGAGAAATATTGTGCAAAAACACCTTTATTTCTAAAATAAACTCATTTTTATCTGTATGGAAGTCATGCTTTCATTTATAATTTTAAAAGCTACATAACTTTTATGAAGTTAAACAATTAGAGTGACCCTCATATGCCTGTTAGAGTGGTAGTAGGGTGCTTTTGTCTAGGAGGTTAATTTTGTTCAGTAAAATATATAAACACTTGAACAAAAAAGGTCTTATACAAAATATTTTTACACTAGGCAAATAAATGACTCAAAAATTCCTTAGTTTACATGGATATGGTGGCACAAAAACCTGTCATGGTTAAATTAATACTAAATTCAAAATCTTCCCTCTGTATTTTTTATAGCTAAATCTCATATGAATATTTACATGTGTAATTATTGCTTAATTCTGATCCACCTTGAAGCTA